CTATAAGATTATATAAACCAAAATATTTATCGCTTAAATATTGATATATTTCTATTTTACAAAGTAATGTAAAGATATTTACAAAAGAAACAGTTTCTTTCAAAAGCTCTGTTATTTTTTTAAAATTACATATGTAATAAAAAAACCTGCAATTCTAAAATCATATTACAGTGCTCCGTTAGTAACTTCTGCGTCTCAAGACATAGCTTATGTTATAAGTAAGAGTTATTTTTGCATATCATCTACATAATTGAGTTAGAATATATAATAATCATTGCTTATTTGACAAAAACTTATACTATCTTAAACTTTCTATTACAAAACTGACATAAATACATAAATGAGAAGATGGGTCTATTGCTTTCATTTTAATTTTAATTTTATTTTTTTTATTTATTTATTTATTTATTTATTTTTTTGGGGGGGGGGGTGTCTTCGTCTATGGGTTTCTGCAGATATCAAAACAAAACACTAATTGTCATTGCTTTTCTTTTTCAATGCCAGGGCAAAACCTCATGTGAAGCAACGGAAGGAATCTGTTTTCCAAAAGGTAGAAACCAATTTAAAAAAATCCATATATCTTAATCACTATTTCAATTTTTATCATTCTAATTTGTCATAATTGCTGATTTTGTTTAATTTATTTTCAAAATCACCACATGTATCTGCGTATGGGTATGAAAGGATATTGTATACTTTCTATCTTGCTTTTTTAAATCACAAAGAACATTTTTTTACTTTATTGTCACTCTATTACCATCGCATGATATATTCTAACATGCAATATATGTTCTTACTAAAACCGTTGAATTTATTTCATCTTTGATCGAGCTTCATGTCTAGCAAGACGTTTAAGGTCTATATTGTGCAATTACAACCTATAGTACATTTTTAACAAAAAGATGATTCTAAAATTTGGGTTTGCATAACCAAATGGCAATTAGACAGCAATTAATTGTTTGGACACAGAATTCAAGTACATGCACAATGTTTCACATTATAAAGAAACAATCTAAAGTCAGAATGTTAGATGAACATGTCAAGACAAGGCACAATTTTACACAAAAGGCAGAATGTAATTGTCTTGCAATAGAAAAACATATAAACACGATATCAAATACAGAAGTCACAACAATCATTTTCAAAATCTCACACCCATAAGGATATGCAAATCCCTTGGTCGAAATATTCTGACCCTAAAATAGCCTGGATCCTATCAGGTATCAAACATTGCTTGAAATTACTATAAAATAAGTTACTACTTGCATCTCCGCAAGTGTCCGAATAATCATATAAGATTTCTGTATCAGGGAGGATCGAACCAGCGGCAAATGAGTTTCAATAGAAAATGATGCATTATATCTATGTAATATAGCAGACTTTGTTTCATATTCAAAATAAGATAATTATTTTAGAAATCATTCTGTGCAGTTCTGTTTTCCCGCATGCGTGCCCGTGTGTGTGCGTGAGTTCCGTGTGTGTGTAGCGTGCGTGCGTGTGTGTGTGTTTTTCCCCTTTGTTTTTTAATATTCATTTCTTCTTATTTATCGTTTGTATGTTGTTTTTCTATTCTAAATCTTAAACATTATGTGTATTTTATTTTAAGTAGATGTGTCTTTCTCATAAATACAAGAAATGTATTGTGTTTATTTAAAAAAAAGTTTTTGTTCAGTGATTGATTTACAATAATTGTAATACATGACGTGATTGTATATTATATTAATTTCAAAACTTTTCAAAAACAGAAATGAATTTCTCTGCACTTATTAATAATTCAGATCAATATCGTAGTTTTTAATCAATGATTTTCCACACAGTTCCATCAATATTTGCATAGACAAAGAAAAAACATTAAACTAGTGAATACACTTTAATATTTTCTAATAACATTATTGATACTTTAAAGTTATTCTTCATTGAAAAAAAAATTGAAATGTTATCTAAAATATTGCAAGAACGTTTCCATTTGATGTTTTCTGTTCTGAAAATGCACATTTTGACTCACTGCAATAGTGTTAACTGGCGACGCTCTGTGAAATCATTTGTAGTTTATGTTTGTTTGTTTGTTTGTTTGTTTGATTGGGTGTTACGTCACACCGACACAGTATAGGTCATTTGGCAACGTTCCAGCTTTACTGGTGGATGAAGAACTCAGGCGCACCTCGGCAATAAAGGACACCCGACGTTCCGTAAGCTAGCTGGCTAGCTAGATAGCTTCCTCACATGTAAAAATCCAAAGTCCCTGTCGGGATTCGAACCCACAACGATGAGGGGCAAGTGGTTTAAAGTCACGGACGCCCCATTTGTAGTTTAAAAAAAAAAAAACGTATTCTATAATGATATCAATCATCCAATCAATTATCGGGATCTTATGTTATTTAAAAGAAATGATGGGGTCAATCAAGAGTCGATATTAGGACCACTTTTGCTATCAGTGACAGAGTTTTGGATATCAACTAAACTACTTTTTTATTTTGCGTTGATGACATATCTCTATGTCTTATTTTTGATATTTCTGTTATTGCTGCTTAATTTCTTAAATCATATCTTGATAAAATAAGTTGATAAAAAATTCAATCCAAATAAAACCCTTTTCTTGTACAAAACAGAACGATCATTCGCTCTTTATGAATAAAGTTCAAATATTTGAAATAGAATCCCAGAAGCATCTAAGAATCTCTTTTTTAATAGAACATAGACAGAACATTTTAACAATATTAAGCCTAGCAGAAAATTAAACGTTTAGATAAATTGTAATATTGCAAATTTGTTATGATGTTACTGTTGGCCTTTACGGGCGAATATAACATTTAAGTGATATATATAACCCTCGGCTCCCGCATTAAGTCTAATAATATCTGTCATATGTTGCGGTTCGGACCGGAATATCCGTCCCGAGGGGACCCGCCCATTGGGCGGTAACGAGGCTTGCCGATCCGAACCGCAAACATATGTTAGATATTTTTTCTTGCATATTCTGCCATATTATTTCATATTTAAAATGGTTTACCTCAATATGATATATGTTCATGGAAATTAAAGTCATTTCATCCATAACTATTTTCTAACAATAGCGTATGAACTTACAACTTAAATAACAGCGGCGAAATGACGTCATCCTTAGCACATATTTCCCTTCTAAAACGACGTCATTTTAAAGCGGTTCATTCATAAAGCGCGCTAAAATGACGTTGTTGTTTGGCACGCGACTCATCTGGCACCCCCATGCCAGATGAAATTTCCGGCATGGGTAAAACTCACGGAAACGCCGGTCTGATATGCAAGAAATTTATGTCTCAATCTGGCTAAATGCCCGACCAGAATTCCTCTATAGCACCATTAGCAAACTTAAGTATACAACTAAATTGGTGCCTTCATTAGACGTGGCATTATATTCCCTTTTAAATCATGCATTTATTGTATATTAGACACACGAATGCTTAGAGATAGATTAGATAGATTAGGAAAATGATATAAACCAAGCTACAATTCATTTTTACTATTAATTGTGCTCACCAGATTGTCCAATCATTCAGCTAGAAAATGGAGACATAAAAGGAAACATGTACTACCAATCTTCAACCCTTGAAGTACATTGTAACCTTGGCTACCAAGAGGTTGCGGATGTTTCTCAAATCACGTGCTTGTCGAATGGTTCATGGTCACATCAGCCGGTTTGTAAGAAAAATAATGTTAGAACAGGTACAACTGATGCTGAAACAAGTACGACTGATGCTGGAACAAGTACAACTAATGCTGAAACAAGTACAACTAATGCTGGAACAAGTACAACTGATGCTGAAACAAGTACAAGTGATGCTGGAACAAGTACAACTAATGCTGAAACAAGTACAACTAATGCTGGAACAAGTACAACTTATGCTGAAACAAGTACAACTGATGCTGGAACAAGTGCAAATGATGCTGAAACAACTAAAACTGATGCAGAAACAACTACAACTGATGCTGAAACAACTATAACTAATGCTGAAACAACTACAACTGATGCTGGAACAAGTACAACTAACGCTGAAACAACAGGTACAACTGATGCTGAAACAAGTACAACTGATGCTGAAACAAGTACAAGTGATGCTGAAACAACTACAAGTGATGCTGGAACAAGTACAACTAATGCTGCAACAAGTACAGCTGATGCTGGAACAAGTAAAACTAATGCTGAAACAACTACAACTGATGCTGGAACAAATACAACTGATGCTGGAACAAGTAAAACTAATGCTGAAACAACTATAACTAATGCTGAAACAACTACAACTGATGCTGAAACAAGTACAACTGATGCTGGAACAAGTAAAACTAATGCTGAAACAACTATAACTAATGCTGAAACAACTACAACTGATGCTGGAACAAGTACAACTGATGATGGAACAAGTACAAATGATGCTGGAACAAGTACAACTGATGCTGAAACAAGTACAAATGATGCTGGAACAAGTAAAAACTAATGCTGGAACAAAGTACAACTGATGCTGGAACAACTACAATTAATGCTGAAACAAGTACAGCTGATGCTGAAACAAGTACAACTAATACTGGAACAAAGTAAAACTAATGCTGGAACAAGTACAACTGATGCTGGAACAAGTACAAATGATGCTGGAACAAGTACAACTAATGCAGAAAAAACTACAACTGATGCTAAAACAAGTACAACTAATGCTGAAACAACTACAACTGATGCTGCGAACAACTACAATTAATGCTGAAACAAGTACAACTGATGCTGGAACAACTACAACTTATGCTGAAACAACTACAACTGATGCTGGAACAAACTACAACTGATGCTGGAACAACTACAGCTGATGCTAGAACAACTACAACTAATGCTGAAACAAGTACAACTAATGCTGAAACAAGTACATCTGATGCTGGAACAACTACAACTGATGCTGGAACAGGTACAACTGATGCTGGAACAACTACAACTAATGCTGGAACAACTACAACTGATGCTGAAAAAGCTACAACTAATGCTGTAACAACTACAACTGATGCTGGAACAACTACAACTAATGCTGAAACAACTACAACTAATGCTGAAACAAGTACAAATGATGCTGGAACAACTACAACTGATGCTGAATCAAGTACAACTGATGCTGGAACAACTACAACTGCTGCTGGAACAACTACAACTAATGCTGAAACAACTACAACTAATGCTCAAACAAGTACAACTGATGTTGGAACAACTACAACTGATGCTGTTACAAGTACAACTAATGCTGAAACAACTACAACTGATGATGGAACAACTACAACTGATGCTGAAACAACTACAACTAATGCTGAAACAAGTACAACTAATGCTGAAACAAGTACAACTGATGCTGGAACAACTATAACAGATGTTCGAACAACTACAACTAATGCTGAAACAAGTAAAACTAATGCTGAAACAACTATAACTAATGCTGAAACAACTACAACTGATGCTGAAACAAGTACAACTGATGCTGGAACAAGTAAAACTAATGCTGAAACAACTATAACTAATGCTGAAACAACTACAACTGATGCTGGAACAAGTACAACTGATGATGGAACAAGTACAAATGATGCTGGAACAAGTACAACTGATGCTGAAACAAGTACAAATGATGCTGGAACAAGTAAAACTAATGCTGGAACAAGTACAACTGATGCTGGAACAACTACAATTAATGCTGAAACAAGTACAACTGATGCTGAAACAAGTACAACTAATACTGGAACAAGTAAAACTAATGCTGGAACAAGTACAACTGATGCTGGAACAAGTACAAATGATGCTGGAACAAGTACAACTAATGCAGAAAAAACTACAACTGATGCTAAAACAAGTACAACTAATGCTGAAACAACTACAACTGATGCTGGAACAACTACAATTAATGCTGAAACAAGTACAACTGATGCTGGAACAACTACAACTTATGCTGAAACAACTACAACTGATGCTGGAACAACTACAACTGATGCTGGAACAACTACAGCTGATGCTAGAACAACTACAACTAATGCTGAAACAAGTACAACTAATGCTGAAACAAGTACATCTGATGCTGGAACAACTACAACTAATGCTGAAACAAGTACAACTAATGCTGAAACAGGTACAAACTAATGCTGAAACAACTACAACTGATGCTGAAACAAGTACAACTAATACTGGAACAACTACAACTATTGCTGAAACAACTAAGGCTGATGCTGGAACAACTACAACTAATGCTGAAACAAGTACAACTAATGCTGAAACAGGTACAACTAATGCTGAAACAACTACAACTGATGCTGAAACAACTACAACTAATGCTAAAACAAGTACAACTAATGCTGAAACAAGTACAACTAATGCTGAAACAACTACAACTGATGCTGGAACAACTACAACTGATGCTGGAACAATTAGAACAAATACTGGAACAACTAAAGCTGATGCTGGAACAACTACAACTAATGCTGAAAAAAGTACAACTAATGCTGAAACAAGTACAACTAATGCTAAAACAACTACAACTGATGCTGAAACAACTACAACTGATGATGAAACAACTACAACTAATGCTGAAACAAGTACAACTGATGCTGAAACAACTACAAGTGATGCTGAAACAACTACAACTGATGCTGGAAGAACTACAACTAATGCTGAAACAACTACAACTAATGCTGAAACAAGTACAACTAATGTTGAAACAAGTACAACTAATGCTGGAACAACTACAACTGATGCTGAAACAACTAGAACTAATGCTAAAACAAGTATAACTAATTCTGAAACAAGTACAACTAATGCTGAAACAACTACAAATAATGCTGGAACAACTACAACTAATGCTGAAACAACTACAACTGATGCTGAAACAAGTACAACTAATGCTGAAACAAGTACAACTAATGCTGAAACAACTACAAATAATGCTGAAAAAAACTACAACTAATGCTGAAACAAGTACCACTAATGCTGAAGCAAGTACAACTAATGCTGAAACAAGTACAACTGATGCTGGAACAACTACAACTGATGTTCGAACAACTACAACTAATGCTGAAACAACTACAACTGATGTTGAAACAACTACAGCTGATGCTGGAACAAACTACAACTGATGCTGTTACAAGTACAACTGATGCTGGAACAACTACAACTGATGCTGTTACAAGTACAACTGATGCTGGAACAACTACAACTGATGCTGAAACAACTACAGCTGATGCTGGAACAACTACAACTGATGCTGAAACAACTACAGCTAATGCTGGAACAACTACAACTGATGCTGTTACAAGTTACAACTGATGCTGGAACAACTACAACTGATGCTGTTACAAGTACAACTGATGCTGGAACAACTACAACTTATGCTGTTACAAGTACAACTGATGCTGGAACAACTACAACTGATGCTGTTAACAAAGTACAACTAATGCTGAAACAACTACAACTGATGCTGAAACAACTACAGCTGATGCTGGAACAACTACAACTGATGCTGAAACAACTACAGCTAATGCTGGAACAACTACAACTGAATGCTGTTACAAGTACAACTGATGCTGAAAACAACTACAACTAATGCTGAAACAACTACAACTGATGCTGAAACAACTACAACTAATGCTGAAACAACTACAACTGATGCTGGAACAACTACAACTTATGCTGAAACAAGTACAACTAATGCTGAAACAACTACAACTGATGCTGAAACAACTACAACTGATGCTGAAACAACTACAACTGATGCTGAAACAACTACAACTAATGCTGAAACAACTACAACTGATGCTGGAACAACTACAACTTATGCTGAAACAAGTACAACTAATGCTGAAACAACTACAACTAATGCTGAAACAAGTACAACTAATGCTGAAACAACTACAACTAATGCTGAAACAACTACAACTGATGCTGAAACAACTACAACTGATGCTGAAACAACTACAGCTAATGCTGGAACAAGAACAACTAATGCTGAAACAACAACAACTAATGCTGAAACAACTACAACTGATGCTGGAACAACTACAACTGATGCTGAAACAAGTACAACTAATGCTGAAACAACTACAACTGATGCTGGAACAACTACAACTGATGCTGGAACAACTACAACTAATGCTGAAACAACTACAACTAATGCTGAAACAAGTACAACTGATGCTGGAGCAGGTACAACTGTTGACGGAACAGGTACAAAACTAATGCTGAAACAACTACAACTGATGCTGAAACAGGTACAACTGGTGATGGAAACAGGTACAATTGGGGGAGAAGGTTCGTACATTGTATAATTCAATAAACTTAAAATTGTTTAAACACATGACATCACTCGTTTTCCGTGTTATATAGCCGTAATGTCTATGAGACACGTGCAATATAACATTGTCGTGAGAAAAGCATTTGTTAAACGTCAGAACAAGTTATTCTCGTGCATTTAGTGCATTTGTCATGTGACTGGCCACAGGCTGATTCAATCACAGTTTCTTGAACTCATTAATAAATAATTTTGCTATATGACATGACAACGTGTAAAATGTAGTTTACATTATAATATTTTATACAAATTCAAGTAATAAGAGCTGTTATTTTATGCTTTTCAGTGGATTACTGATTTATCCGTGAAAATTATATTTGGTAATTTGACAGTGAAAATTATCAAAATATAATTTCACTCTTTTTCAATGACGAAACTACTTTTTTAAGATTTTCCCCATGTGGTACCTCAATTTTATTTTTGCTGACAATTCTGACAATGTCAGGCTGTTTAAAGAAAAAGCAAAACTGAAATTGATAAATAACTTAAATGTAAAAAGTAATAAAAAGAAGAAAACTTACTTCTATTCATTTAAATTCATGAAATTCCAATCACCAAATTTCGTTTCTTTGTTTCATTTTGACAGTCTCAAAAATACATTTCTTCCCCATGCAAAACTGCTCTTGATGACATTTTGGCATATTAAAGTATCCTACGAGCAATAACTGCCGTATGCTTTATGAAAAATTGAAAGCATTGACAGCCATAACTCGAAGAATAAGTTAAATCAACCCAGCGTTCTTGAGCAGGTTTCCAAGTTTTCCATTTTCCTAGCTCCTTTTCTGAATGTTTTCACATCTGTCAACACTTATTTTTGTCTGTTACAATCCTCAAATAAGTTTTCTTTCTTTTAAAAATGTGTATGACTAACAAATCCAAATTATAACCCTCTGAATCTTACACAATTATTTTCCTCCCATGAAATACACAACTTTAAAAAATGGCTGCCGCTTACAATTTACAAAGCCAGGTCTAATATAAATTCGCAGAAATATGGATGGATGGTTGGACTTTTTCTCCTACAAGAATTGTTTGTTTTTATTATCAAAACAAGCGATCATTCATATTTTTTTAATAAAATTAATAAATATCACCGTCATTTAATGTTGATTGGCGGACTTATTTTTCAGCTCAAGACTTCTTTTTTTTAATGAGAAATTCCGAATAAATGGGGCTCTCAATGGGGGAAACAGTTTTAATATTAACGTTAAAATTATGGAAATTTCGTTTTAACTTGTTTTTAAGCATAAAATAAAAAGAACATTTGTCTGTTTGTTGTGTAAGATGTAATTTTATTTCATCTCGTGAACTTTAAAAACAGTATTCTCACTCGTGGCTTCGCCACTCGTGAGAATACTGTTTTTAAAGCCCACTCGATGAAATAAAATTTCATCTTACACACAAACAAACAAATATCCTCTATTACTTGACCTGATATAATGGTGTGATTGTACAATTGCTCCTTTGAGTCCCCTCTAACTAGGCTTGATACTTCTTAATAACGTCTGCCAAAAGCCAAAGGAATTTACAACATTTTTAAATATGTACATGTACCATGCAGATAAGTGTATGAACTTTAAATAAACAAGGAAATCCAATTTCAATATTCATGTTCTGTATTAAGAAATAGAAATAAATAACAATTATTCTATTTATATATAACAATCCATTATATTCCCATTTATGCTAGTGTATTTTATACTCTAAGACTAGTTACCTTGAAGTCTCTTTATGGAATGAATACGCTTTTAACTGTTCTTCCGGTGTCCGTACTTTTCCGTTTAAGTTTGAGGCCATAATACTGCATAAATTAAGTAACTTTGTGTATATAAATATGAATTACAATAGGTAGCTTTCTAAATATGATTCGATTATTTGGAAGTTGTTTAATGACATTGAACTATTCGTGATAAACTACTATGAAAAAGATGTGACTAGGTGTTTATACAAGTATAACCTGTTTAGAACGAATTATATGACTTGGTGAAACTTCATACATATGTATATGTATACTTTTTATTTTCGTTAAGCCTTGTTTAGGGGATAAAGCTAAATAAAGCAGATCATGCAAGCATGCGCCGTTGTTGTCCGTTTTTTTTTTTGTTTTTTTTTTCCGCACTAGCACTTTAAAAGCATGAAGAAACCAGTGGGATATGGGTCATGATCACCCCTGGGAATGACTCCCCTGTAACAAAAGGAGATTTGTCAGCCCTCTCTTAGGGAATGAACTCTTATTGGTAAAAGGATCTCGATCCGAGCAAGCATCTAAAGGTTATAGCATGTTTTTTGCACACAAAAATTACACTAGCCCTATTTTTGCATGTCTTGTTCGGCATTCCAATATTTGTTTTATATAACTATAAAGAAACGTGCTTTTGTATATGTTAAGTGTGATATCATTTGGCAAAAACGTCCTGATGATAAAAAATTGTCATTGTAGTAAGAAGTTTTCAGATAGCGCCTTCAGTCAAGTAAATTAAACACCGTGCAACAACGGCCTGTGCTCGCGTGATTTATACGTTTATGCTTATTCTTTTTATGTGAAATTATACCAACTTGCACAGTTATTATTCAATAATATATATATTTAATGCATGCTCCATTAACATAATTTATTTAATTAATAAAAATAAATCATCTTATAATTGTTTTGTAGCACAGGAAACAATGAATCTAGGGGAAACCTGTTTCGTTGTTCAGCCTTGCAAAGATGATAATTCAATATGCATAAAGAATAAGTGTTACTGCAAACCGCTCTACAGATACGATTCAACACAGAAGGTCTGCGTCAAAGGTATGATCAATTCTTAATGAGGAAAACAGTTTCATGTTTGAATTTCTGATCGATATTAATTTGTATTTTGAATGTCACTTAATGAATCAATTTTTATACGAAATTCTCATTAATTCATAAAAATCCATATCAGCAAATAGTGAACTTTCCGAGGAGATTTATTTGTCAACAACATTCATCATAACACTATAGGTCCGTCCTTTTATCTATTTGAAAGTAACCAAAATGGTAAATTCCGCTTAAATTCGCCATTCCCAATTAAACGTTGTCTATCCGGACGTTTGTTTTTCGCTTCTCCTTCTGTGTGTCTTGTTTCAGTTTGTCACAATATAAATGAAGCATAAAACCTTAACTATTTAAATCTTTATATTATCATGCAGTTGCATCTCACAGAGAAGACGCGGAGTGCCAAAGAATCATAACTGCCATTGAAATATTTTGGAGCTATTGCCATTTAAAATTCCTATGGTCCCGGGTAAACCGACAAATTAATGACTACATAATGGACACACTTTCGTACCAATACAATGCAATTCAATACAATACTAATCGTTACAAGACACATGATCTTCGCCAAGTTACATAAATATTTTATTCAGAACTTTTCACATTATCAGCGATTGGTTATTCGACAGATTGATAACTATACGTTTGAAAAATATAGCTAATTCACCTCCATAACAACTTGACAGTAAAAAATAAGCATAATGTTACTTTAATTTTACAGATTCTATTAAAGTACAGAGCACTTGAACTCGCTATTGTTGATTTTGCATTTTTTAACTTTAACAAATACCAAATACATCGAAAGGAAACGTTTGATATTTCGCTAATATCTTAAAGCATCAAATTGCAAACACGAAATTCATGTTATACACATGTCTTGCTAAAAAAATATTAGGCCCTTTTCATATCTATATGCTTTCAATATTCCGAACAAATTTGATGATGACTGATCTACATAAATTGTACAATATATGAATTACTTAACGTGT